CATGAAAACATTGACAGTAAAAAATACTCTTGATTCAATTGGATTTTTGCTTGGATCAAAACGAAATCCGCTTAAATTAAGATGCTTGGTTCTTGATTTAAGCTAGATTCTGATTGAATCAAGAGTACTTTTTCTTGTCGATGTTTTTAAGAGTCTGGACTCTAGATCCAATGTGTTTTTTTTTCCCAGTGCATGCAAAGTTTCAAAATTTTCTCCGCCTCTTTATTTTTCTTACAGAAAAATTATTGGTTGCATCTGTTTGAAAATTTCACTGGATTTTGGTTATAGGACATTTCGTCAACGATTTTTTGCCCGCGCACCTGTTTTTTCCAGTAATTTACGTCCACGCGTTTTTGCGGCACGGAGGTTTTGGTCCACGTGCCAGCTGAGACCCAAAGTTAATTGGTCCACATGTAAATACAAACGACGATTGCTCAAGACATTTTTGGATGAAAATGTATAATGTCTTGGAAGAATAAGGGTTTGCTTGCTTTTTTTTTGGTTGTTTGATCCAACGGAGAATAATATATAATTGAGATTTTTGGTAAAAATGAGGGAGCGTCAATTCCATTAGACAAAATTCACTAAAACTCTCTACACCTCTTTGTGTAACTATCTTTCGAGAAATTCCCACCTTGTTATACCTGAACCGGATAAACATCTATATTTGCCTCAGCTAAAGGCTCTTAGATTTTTCCTGTGTACGAGAAGTATCTTGATTTATTTTACGAGGAAACATCTGTACTTTTAAAGGATGCCTGTCATTCTTAATACGTTCAATTTTGTATAATACTGTGCAACACCTCTGTTGTGAAATAGTTGCTTCAGGCGCAGGCGCCGCCGCACGGCGGGCGGGCGGTCAGCGCGTAACGCGCATTGGCGCCTACAAACCTAAGTGGATACTTCAAGCATTGTGCCATGCGAGACGTATCCACTTGGGTTTGGAGGCGCCAGTGAGCCTCTCACGCTGGCAGCACGCCGCCCCGCTCTGTTGGGCTTTAATATTTATACTCGCATAGTCAGTGTTGTTTAACTGATGATTTTGAAATGTTTGCACACTCTGCCTTGATTATTCTCATTTAAATTGATGAAAAAAAAAAATAAGTATCAATTTATCAAAGGAGAGTAATAATATTATGTGTTTTTTTAAATATTGGTGGTTCCGTGTCACATTTAATGATTTTCAAGGTACTTTAATTTTTTATTTTACATTTTGTGCTTTTACCGTGCTGCAGCGAGGTGTGCGCGCAACCAAACGCTCAAAAGACGTATTTGACTCTAAAAGATCGATGTACAAATGGGTTAAAAGTAAAGATTGCCTGCTTCTTGTTTTTTTTTCTCTTTTATTCGTTTTTGCTGTTTCTTTCGGCACGACTGCGACTCACTGAGATTAATATCGATGCCATCGATTGGAAACGGTTTTACAAATATTTGTCACGTTTTAAAAATGTAAATGTTTACAAAGTGAAATAATAATTTCGTAAAAAAAAAATTTAAAAAATAAAAAAAGTACCTATACATATGTAAGGTATATTGTACATCGAATATTTTAAGGATAGAAATGAAACCATATATTCACCAATGACAATTTAAAAAGATGAATCAAAAGGAGAAAGTAACATTTCATTTAGAAAATGAGCAACCTTAACAACACCTCCTTCTCTCTCAATTTCATATTGTCAATAAAATTTTACATACCGACTAAAATATAACACTTGGACCAAGTCAATGTTGCCTTTTTTACATGTAGGCGTAAACTCCTGGACAAAAAAGGTGCGCGGACAAAAAATCGTTGACGAAATGTCCTGAAACCCTGGATTTTATCGGCAGCGCAAAGAAAATTCCGTGAAATTTTCGGATAACTTCGTTGAAAAATTTCTCTGTAGAAAAATAAAACGGCGAAGGAAATTTTTAAAAGTCGCATGGCGCTTGTGATACTTAGGCCGGAAGGTATGTGTATAAACCACGGGGTTAAGCCCCTCAGCCGCTACGCGGCCAAACCCCCAGAAGTCATTTCATGCTCTTTAATATCTGCTTTGTGGGCCCCTGAGTCAATCTAAATAGACGAGCTCATCTACAGGGACTATCCCTTATCGGTTTTCCGGTCGAATGTCCTCCTTCACCAGTATATCATCATTTAAAGCTTATACGGTTGTTTTGCGTCAGAGCGGATGGGAAAATTTTTTTCCCAAATGTCTCGAGGCCGCATTTTCACCTATTTTTTGCCGCTTCCCGTGTCAAAATAGTAGACAAAAAACTGACAGGCTGTCCTGGAAATAGGCTCAATCCATTCTCATTCCTGGAATGGCGCCATTACTATTAGAAAAAGGTCAAGTTTGTTATTCCTCTTTTTCAGTGGAGCTAAAATAACTCCTGTCAGCTTAATTCGGTACATGGTTCGTGCACTTTACGTGAAATATTCCGAGAGCTTACGCAAGGGAATTAAGCGTTATCTTTACTTTGATACTCATCACCTTTCCGCGCTATGGAAAGGTTTACGCTCAAACATAGCGAAAGCCTTTTCCTGTCCCGTTGAGGATACCCTTTAACAGGGAGGTTCCCGCGGGATCACGCTTACGACTGGCAGTGGCGGGGCGTGAATCATCGATTATTATATCGATCTTTCCCCATTTGAAGCTATGGTAAAGAATCGATTATTAAGGTGTCCGTCGCGAACACCCTCTTTATCGATACTTTTTTATAGGTTTAATTGGCAGATCGGTCGATATATCGCAAAGCAGGCCACGCCACTGACGACTAGGTTCCGACGCGACGGTGAGAGAGTTTAAAATATAGCTTGGTTTATCTTTTGCTGTTAGCTCGATCCTCAATTGTACGTATTTCTGCCAAAAAGAACTATGTGCATTATCAATTGAGCACTGGTATGCATATATTCTTATGGGTCTCAGGGCCCATGTCTTCATTCGCATAGTTCCGTTTGGCAGTAATACGTCCAATTTGTTCGAAAGTCGATTGGGAATTGCTTCGGAGTCCGATCACGTATAATTTGAGTTCGGAAGTATATAAGGAAAATACTGAAATGTTAATTCAGAAGCCCTCGACGAATAGGGTCAGAAAGGTTGCAAAAGGCACGATGAAAATATGCAAACTCTACGGACGGTGTTTGGGCAAGAGAAACTTGAACTTGTTTAAATTATCCGAAAACAACTTATCTTCCTTTGATTTCCTTCAGACTTTGGATCAGACCCTGGATGAGTAAGATAGAAGAGTTGGTATCTTTTTGCGTAATATCGTCCGTATGAAATGCAGCGAATTGTAGAGTCGATATTTTAACGGAACACGATGTCCCTGAAGTAATACCGGATCGAGTGAATTGTTCATTCGTATTCGTATCCCTGAGGAGGCACGAGTAATTCAAACAAGCTTGTACTATGAAGTTAATAAAGTAGAAGCCTTGAACAATTGTTTGCATTTTAACCGAGTTTAACAGAAAGGAACCAAGTCGCATCATCTATTTCCAAATTTAACTGGGCAAGTTAATTTTTTACAAGAGAACGTTTGTAAGGATTTCTTTGAAAATTTGATAATATAATAATTAATAATTAATAATAATTAATTAATAATTAATAATAATTAATTATTATTTAATAATTTGCTTCGTACTATGCAGAATATCCACTGAAATGTGCACAAACATCCGCAAAACCGTTTTCATGTAAAAAGTAAAATCGCACGATAAAAGTTGGCAATATCTGATGTGGCTTGGTTCCTTTCTGCTTTAGGCGGTCCAACTTTAAACCTCTCCGGCCTTTTTACATCAACATTTGGTCCCTAAACTCTGTAACAGAATGAAAGGTTCAATACTCGTTTTGACAAGACAGAAAGGAGTAAAACACTGTGAATTCATCGTCATTGTTTTCATCTTCTGTCTTACGTTACATTTTCTGTGATGATGGCTTTAATTGTTTTACCGAGTAATTTTTTGTTTCCGCGGGAAATTGGACCGCGCTAAGCAGACAGGAACCAAGCCACATCAGCCATCGCCAAATTTAATCGGACAATTTGATATTTACATACAATCAGATGTGCGGATCTTTGTGAAAATTTCAGAGATATTTCTACTCAGAACGAAGCAAATGCTTTAAAATTGTTTAAGAGATCCAATCTAATGTTCTCTTGTAAGAAATTCTATTGCCCAGTTTAATTTGACAATAGCTGATGTGGCTTGGTTCCTTTCCGCTGAACACGGTTAAAGTAGCCTTCCGTCATGATGGGGGACGTTCATCAAAGTGTAACCCAAGTCTGAGCAACTATTCGAGCACGGGCGTCGGGGGGTTGCACATTTCATTTTTGAAGGCGTTTCGTTTGCGCAGCATTGCAGGCATGTTTTATAACCAGGCACTTCCCATGATTTAACAGAAACACTGATTAGTCTCGTAGGAGGTATGTCTTATCTTCAAGAGATGCCTATGTTTAATAACCAGGAGGTCCGCCCCCGTGCCGACGAGCGGGCCAACCTCTTGCCGATGATTGGCTCCATTTAAATAATTTGAGAGATAAACACTGGAAAATAAAAGTCTCTTGGGTGTCTTTGGGGAGTTCAGACTCTTAAAAAGTAACAAGAAAAAACACTCTTGATTTAATCGGATTTTAGCTTGCATTATAAGAAAATCCGCTTATAATCGCGTGTTATTAATTATTAACAGGTTTGGCTGTAGATTCTAGCAAAAATTCGATTGAATCAAGAGTCTTTTTCTTGTCAAATTTTTCAAGAGTCTTTACTCTAGAACCAGGATACTTTTTCTCTCGTGAACTTTACGTAATACAAATGTTTCTACAAAATTGCAATGCAGCTGTAGTAGATTTATAACCAACTGCTGACTAATCAGGCTGAATTTTGCCCCAATACTGACAACTTCACATCAGATAATATTTTTAGTTATCCCTCTTACCGTTTAAAAAACTTATATACAATATCCGTAAACTTTATAAAGTGGCAATCAGCATTTTTCACACGAAAATTTTCTTTATGTGTCCAGGCTTCAGAGCAACAAAAGCAGTGTTGGGGGTGCTGCGCTGGTTGTCCACTTCTCAGATCCAGCCCGAGTCAACGACGGCACAACAACACATCTCTCAAGGTTCAAGCCTCCAAAGAAAACGTGAGTTCACAAATCAGAATCTACAATTGATCTTAATACAAACTGTCTCCTCTGACGAGGCACTTCCATTTTGAGACTGTGCTTTGCACAAAAATTCCTTTTTATGCAACTAAAATGGTGGCACGACAATGTGGAATTCTTATCATCAGTTATACCTACAGCCCAAATCACACAATCAAAGTAGAGCCCTTAATGGGGCTCATTGATTGCATTTTTTATTGTTATAGCCTCTCAAAAATCGTCGGGCCGACAATCTTTGAAGGTACTCGATGTGTTTCTGTTTGTGACACACCATAGATCACGTCTGGAATATTTCGAGTAATTTATGCAGAACTTCTTCTATTTCCACATGAACCGCAAACTGCACCTAGGGATACGCTAGTAACAGGGCTCACGCGGAAATTTATAGAGGTACACCCCAACGTCAGAGGAGTGTAACCCAAGTCTGAGCAACTATTCGAACACGGGTGTTGGGGGGTTGCATATTTAATTTTTTGAAGGAATTTCAATGTGTGATCTGACTTTGTTCGAAGACTTCATCTGATCCTTTACCGCTGAGAATGGGCATGTTGCAAACTTCTGCTAGAGCAAAAAGAGGAGTTCGTTTCTCATAGAAAATGGCTCAAAAATCACCATGAGCGCATCGGGTTAGTCGGAAATGCACCTCTTTATAACTTCACAATCAGCGCAAGAAATATGCGTTCTTTTTTAGATTCCCGCTTCAAAAGCGATACGACGGAACAGGTGAACATTTCGTGAGAGAAGTCTTTCCTTCCAGCCCTTGCGCACAAGAGTGCTTCACAATATTCAACATAGCCGCCGCTTCCGCGCACGAGTCTTGAGGAAGCACCATAGTATTTATCAATGCAAGAGAAATGCAATAATAACCACTCCGGTTAATACGAGACGTCCCGTCTCACCACGTGTGTGTTGACAGGATAGCTTCTGCCATGTCAAATATTGTGTAGCATCCTAGTGCGCAAGGGTTGGATGGAATGACTCCTCTTACGAAATGTTTACCTGAGCCGTAATATTCGTGGGGTGGAAATCTTAAAAAACGTATATTACTTACTCAGATTGTGAGGTTAGTTCAGTATTTCTTGATGCACTCACAGTGATTTTCGAAGTCATTTCCTCTATGTGCAGGATGTAACTCTTCTTCATGCTCTAGCTTACTTTTGCAACAGGCCTATTGTATTGATTTGACAACATGAAATAATTGTAGGAACTGCAAAATTTTCATATCTGTTTGAGAAATTGATTACAAGTTTTATTAATTCATTTATCATGTGCTGGACAGTAATTTTTTTACCGTAAGCCTTGTTTTTATCTGATTGCAGATAGTCGAAGATGAAGGAAATAAAATAGATGCACAGTCAATTGTTATCGATAATTTCAACACATTAACGGTAAGTTAAACTATCAAACATCATATCCCGTTTTCTCAGCATCCTGCTACTTCTGTAATTTGAGCAATCCGATTGGTTAGCTCCTAATTCTCCAACCGTTCAACCTCAAACATAGCGGAATTCTTAAAAGTGGAGGAAACCCGCAGAAAAGCCAGTACATTACACTCAACTGCAAAAAGTCAATAGAATATCAGAAAGTTTTGAAGACAAGCGTTGAATTTTCTTGGTCTGCTGCCAAAACTTGAATGGCTCTCGCCACAATGAATCATGCACTCTATTTGAAGGGCTCAAACTTTGCACTGGTATATCTCGTGAAAGACATGTCCATTTCGAATGTCCGCAAGAAGTTAGGGAAATATCATATTAATAAAGTAGTTCAAAGTTAGTTCACTTGCTTAAACAATTAAAACTAGCCGTGAGGAAAGGAATTGAGAAAGAATTCTCCCACTGAGGCATCCATTGAAGCCTTTAAAATTATATCGCGGATCCTTGGAAATGCTCGCCAATTTCCCAGAATTCGGCAAAACTCCTAAATGTTACTAATTTGAATTCCTCAAAATACCCTCGAAAGTCCTTGCTTTTGATTTTAAGAAGCTATCATGAGCCCTACGCCACTTCGAAAATTTTAATATTCATTGGAAGTTGGAAAAACTTCCCACGCGCTACTTACTTCCGAGCGCCTCGTCTAACCTCTAACGTAAAGGGTGATTCAAAAATCTGGCTTTGCCGTTCGAAAGCTAAACGACGTAAGAACATTCGAATGTCGCGAAATTTAAATTGATAAAAAAAATTATTCCGGAAGAAAGTTACGTATATTTTTCATCAAAATTTTCAGGTGTTTTAGATTATATTGATTAAAGTTGTCCGAAAAATTGGAAAAATAATATGAACAAATTCTTTAATAAATTCAAGTTATTTCATTAAGTGAAATTTGGGATCGCCAAAAGATTACAAGGACCAATCCCTGTCACTTTCGAGCAAATTGAGATGGAGACTTGAACTATTGTAAGTGCTCTTAGGTCAAAGGAAACGACTTTTAGGATCCTCTATTTGGGTGGACCTCTCCGAAAAAGGGCAAGATCCCTGAGGTTCATAGAGATAGTCCGGGACTTTTGAATCACCCTGTATACTCGCACTTTCATCCCCAAACTTTTAAACTAAATAAGGTCGTCAGTGCAAGGTTCCGGAAACTCTCCGTCTCCTTTCGCGCCACAAAAGTAGAGCCACGCACCTCTTAAATTGAACATCACCGCCGTGCTAAAGGAAAACGCCGCATGAAAATTCGGATGATGCCAAATTTTCCTTCATACACCATTTATTTTTGAAGGGATTTGTGTATATTTTCCCCCGAAATTTTCAGAAACTGTAGACTAAATTGCAAATTAAACTATCCGAAGCATTGAAAGAACAATATCCGCAAATTTCCTCGAAAATTCGTATTTTATCTGAAGAAATTTAGCAACGTCAGAGATTTATACGGCGTTTTTCCTTAGCACGGCCGAGCAGATGTTCGGGATGTGGTCGCGAAGTTTCGAGCTCTGAAGCTTGAAGTTGCGAGGCGCGCGTGGCTGCGGAAGCCATGAACTCGCCGCTTTATTAAGAGGAAACCACTGGAATCCGGGCCACCTCATCAACTGACAACCCCGACGGGGAGGAGAGAGACAGAAGGGGGGCAGTGCAATGTTTTAATTCCAAAGAAACACATTAATTCACCCCCGCGTCGCCCCTCTCCCTGCGTTGCCAAATCGTCGAAGGATTTTGCCGCGAAATATTCGGAAAAATCGCAGTTTCCGGGACGAAGAAACGTAGCTCCATTCCTAGGTTGTAAAATTGACTCAAACGATTTTATTTCTCATAAGTATGCACCTGTGCAATTTTTGTTCAAAATTTGTCTGATTTTTGCATGAGATTAGATGGAAAATTAGCGAAATTTTCAGTTAGGGAAGCCTATGATTTGCCTGGTAAAAATTCAGTTCGCGAGGGGAAATATGGCAACAATGAAATGCAGGGGCGGACTGGCAGTAGAAAAGTAAGGAAGCGACCTACATTGGTGGGCCCCTCTAAGGGAAGTCTGGGGAAATTTTGAACATTTCACACTTTTTAAACGCAATTTTAGGCATTTTTTGGATTCCAATGCAAGAGTATCTGAACTTCAAAGTAAACAACTCAGGATTCTTCGGGGACCCCTTCATCATGTCTGGGGCCCCAGGAGCCCACTACATTTCCCTGCATACTATGTATTATAAGCTTCAGGCGACCTTTTTGTCTCTTAGCGACACATTTTCAAGGATTTTGGGGTCTTGTAGTGACTGAAAAGGATTGGAAAATTACAACAATACGGGGAAAAAACGATGACTCGAAAAGCAAAGCAGATAAGCAATTTAGGAATAAGCTGCCTTTAAAGTGAGGCTTATCGTACATTTAACTCCATAACCGGATGAGTTACGCGGAAATCAAGGTGCACCGGTTGCATCGTGTGCAACAGATTTATCCACTAAAACTTCTAAATCATCCCTTACTTTGTCGGTAATCTGCCATATCTCGATTTCGCATAAGCTTCGAAAAGCATAGGTTCTAATCTAAAACAGGGACCACGTTGAAATTGAGACACGCCCTTACGCCAGAGGAGCGACGATTCGAGCCTCAACACTAATTCGCAACATCCCCATTTGCTGAAAAATTTGGCAGCGGACCCCCTCCCCCCGCGGTCTGCCCGCGCGGCACCGCGGAAAGATTAATGAGCCTAAAAGACAGATTACCGCCAACAGTCGGAAAGGTGAAATTTGTCCCTCGAAACCGGCGTTGCCGCTCCGCAGCGTGGTTCCGTCAAAAACAGGGCCACCCGAGCGAGAACGGGCGCCAAAATTGGCAACGCTGCGATACAACCCTTTTCCCCTCTCGTCCCTCACGTGTGACTGCGGGATTTTGGCAAGGAATTCGTCGCTTGGCCGACAAAAGGACTTATCTACACATTGAGATGAGCCCGGTAAAGCATTGAGTTAAATGGACGACAGGGCTGATCGTAAAATGCAGTTACGCGTTTATGTCATTGGGGCGACGAATTGCTAGCGGCCCCAGCTTTGTTCCGCAAATCCGGGATGCGGGACGGGTGGGTTTTGCGCAGGGGATTTGTGTAATATGACACTATCTAATGGGTCTGTTGCACACGGGGGATGTACAGATAAATAAAAAGATTTTGTCGGGGTAGAGTTGCACGAAAATAACAACGAGCGCGTCAAAAAAGGTTTGAAATCTGCGTCCAACCCTCGACGGGCCTCCAGACAAGGTACGAATTAAAGCACTGTGCAACATGTTTTTTCGTCGAAATTTCACAAGGGAGGCAAATCGTTCGACGAGAAACCTGGAAATCAACGCTTAAACAACATATTGACGATGTAAGTCAGCAATCACATATCTCGTTTGCTGTGTCTGAAAATATTTGCCTATAGTTAGTTTGTTAATATATTTAAAGACATTCAGCATCTTAGGCTATTAACGTCTTTACAGAGAATTTGGAAGATAGGTGTATATACAAAGATTTAGATTTTTAAATTTAGGGGGGCAAAGAGTTTCGGAAGTTTGGTAGTAACATTGGGTTTATCGCATTGTTATTTTTCAAAGGAGAACAAATTGACATCATTTCTTGAAGTTTTTGCAGAATTTTCTGCGCTTAGAGAGGACAAATCACGGCAGTTTTAAAGAATTGCTTTTGAGTAGTTTTACGTTTAAAAAATAAAGTACGACAGGAAGTCTACGACGTCGCAAACCGAGTCATGTGATTGCCGACTTACACCGTCGATATGTCGGTATTTCAAATTAAACTTATGATTAAATGGCTAAAAATTAAAGTAACGTCATTTGTCTAACTTCAATCTAATCTAACTTTCATTTGATCTTTGTTAATAAAACTTGCTATTAACTCGTCCAGGAGTTCTGCCATGCTAAGGAAAACTGCCGTATGAACATTCAGGTGCTGCGAAATATTTTATATATATAATAGAATATTCTGGAAGGATTTAAAATGAAAATTTACTACATTGAACCTTTTTGTGTGTCACGACCGTCACGTTCTTTTTTTTATTTGAAGCGTGTGATGTTCTGAAAAATATTTGCGCCCACTTCATAGTCCATACTTACAATTGCACGCGTACGGAATTTTGGGCTTCATTGCTGTTCAGTATACCCTCCGTTTTTGTTTAAATCTGTCACGACCATCACACCACATGGGATATTTTATGTGTAAAAAGAAGAGAGGGGATGCCTGATAAAACAAGGTAGCCGTGTTAATTATCAAGCCTAATACCATAATTGAATCGTTAGACAAACTCTCGATTCAAAATAATAAAGCTGAATTTGTAGTTGTTTGGAGGTCAAATTGGACAGCTTTCGTAGAATTGCCAATATGGGGATCATGCCGACTAGCGACCGCGCTGTTTGACGCAATGCGTGAAGTATTCCAGCACTCTTGTAGGCGCTAATATGCTTTCCGCCCCGATCAGCGACCGCATTGTGTAAGGCGCAATGCGTGAAGTATTCCAGCCCTCTTGTAGGCGCGAATATGCGCTCCGCGCCGACCAGCGACCGCACTGTGTGAGGCGCAATGCGTGAAGTATTCTTGCACCCTTGAAGGCGCTAATGTGCTTGCTCGGACCTTGTCTAGTGGCTCAGTTAATTACGTGGTCCATATCATGGATTTTCGAATTTCTTGCGATTGCGGGTACTTCCATCTTCGTCGTTGAACCAGTTTTGTCGTTAGAGAGATGAAAGAAACCCCATCTTAATTAATACATCCCTGCTTAAAAAAGAGGCAAAAGCAAATACTGTAAAATGAAACAAGTCGTATACGTGAGAGAAATTGGTGGCAGTTTACAAATACCTGCCTTTGATAATTCTAGCATCAACTTCGTGTGGAAAATTAACGTAATCCCATAAACAGGACCACTGTGGACCAATACAACACCAAAAATGTGTGTTATATGTAAGATACTGTGACCCTAATT